CATGTTGACCAGGATGGTCTCGATCTCTTGACCTCGTGATCCACCCGCCTCGGCCTCCCAAAGTGCTGGGATTACAGGCTTGAGCCACCGCGCCCGACCTATTATTTATTTTTTATTGTTATTTTTTGAGATGGAGTCTCACCCTGTCGCCCAGGCTGGAGTGCAGTGGCGCGATTTCGGCTCACTGTGACCTCAGCCTCCTGGGTTTAAGCGATTCTCCTGCCTCAGCCTCCTGAGTAGCTGGGATTACAGGAGGGTGCCACCACTCCTGGCTAGTTTTCTGTATCTTTAGTAGAGACAGAGTTTTACCGCAGTGGCCAGGCTGGTCTGGAACTCCTGACCTTGCGATCCGCCCACCTTGACCTCCCAAAGTGCTGGGATTACAGGTATGAGCCACCACACCCGGAATAGACTTTTATTTTGACACATAAAAATAAAGAAATGAGTTGATTCAGAGTTTAACAGGTACAATTTTAAAATAAGTGATTTGTTCCTGCATTGAAAACTAAAATACAAAGAAATCTGGTGGATATCAAAAATTTGTGACTAAATCTATTTTCACCTGACCTCCAGGGTTAATATCACATTTCATATTAAGGTGTTTTTAAATTCTATATTAAAAGTGATTCTTTTATGCCATCTCTGCTGAAAAATTAAAAAAAAAATTTAAGTGTTTATGTATGGTTAAATTTCAAGTATCTAAGATTCTCCAGTAGTTACCCCTCCCTTGCCTGTTCCTCTCCACCCCAGTCTCTTTCTAGTAGGATTCCTATTGCTGGCTACCCAGTCATTACCATTCTAACCATTTAAGGTAGCTCTGCTTGGTTTATTTATTCTGAGTACTACAATTCAGTTTCCCTTTAACCTGGCTTCCTATGGCAAGTTGAAAAACCAGTTTATTTTTCTCCCTTTTATTTCAACAACTCATGATTTAGATTGGTTAGGAGAATATATTATAATCAGGACACAACCTTTTCCCCTCGGGATCTGTATTTGTGAGACTTCCTCCTTTCCCGGCTGAACGTGCTGAAGTCAGACCGAGTACCTTGTGAAGGACTTCAGCCCCCACAGTTCCCTGTTTGCGCATGCCCTCTCTTCTTACAGTTGTCAAAGTGCTTTTGCCAGAGCGGTCACATAATCAACCTGAAAGAAGAAAATTAATACTGTATACTTTAAAATTTTATCGATTCTTAAAAACTGGACACTCAAAGGTAACTGCTACTAAGATTTTTTTACTTGAAATTGGGTTATTGCATGTAAAAGAGTATCTATTGTGTGTGGTGGGGGAGGGGAAGAAGGTATCTATTTCTCAGTTTGCTGTAAATAAGCAAAAACAAAACTAAAAAAACCCAAAAACCAAGAAACAACCCCAAGAACACAAAACAAACTATACAGGCAGTTACTGAGAGACACTGCATATTACCTTTGTAAATATTATCTTAATCTATTGCTTACCTTTTGTTTGAAAGGGTCTTATTTATTAAAGGTGTGTCTTGACCTTGACATAGTGAATTTATGCAGAAAGTGAAATTTACATTTTTCAGGATTGTTGAGAAGAGAAATAGGTGTTCCTAGTGTAAAATTTTAAAAATTCAATGAATATATTAATATTGATTAAAGCTATTATAAAATGTTCTGAGTGCAGCTTACTTTTTGGCTTTTTTGCTGAGGTACAGCATTAATTTTTCCACGAAGAGCATGTAGTTTAATCTGAAGGCATTAACAACAAGCCTTGAGTCAAGCAATCGGAAAAGCAGAGTGATATTAAAATTATAATCAAATGCCTATTTCAGCCATGATGATATGGCTATTATAGAGACAATTCTAGCTCACTGGAAGTGACTCAAATCCCAGATTATAATGGTTTACTGCAGCACTGTTTAAACCAAGTATGAAAATGTCTCTTTCTATGACCATCTTTGGCACCAATAGAACTTTGTGCTGTCTGAATCCAAGCTTCGTTTGTCTCTTTGTATTATATTTTACAATATTGATCAAAACTATTGTTTTAGACCAAGGGAACTGAGGAACATAAAAGTAATCTCTTAAATAGATTTTATTGGTAGTAGCCGACAATCTGTGTTGTATATTATATTGAGTTGGGTTTTTTCCCTGGGAGAGGGTGAAGGGAGGAATGGCAGGGGGATGAGGAATAGAAGGGAGAGTGAAGTGGCTGTGAATTTTCATACACAAAATAGTGGAGAGCTAAAGGCTCTTCATATTTTGTGTATGAAACTTTGAAATAAAGGATATTAATGAACCATTTTAATGATAGTCTTTAATAAAATAACTACTTTTAATCCCATTTCTTATCTGATAATTTTGCATAATAGTTAATATTTTCATTATCTGATACACTGATTTTAACAATAGTTATTATCATGAGGATGTGTATGTATCTGAACGCCTTCTCACAAGTGTCCTGAGAAGGATTCCTCTAGAAGTATCTGGGTTAATTAAGTAACTGCATACATTTATTAATAACTTTGTTGCAATTGTACTGAATCATCATCTAAAAATAATTATATGTTTGGTCATATACTCCTTTAACATTTCAAAAATATTTGTTTTCAGGATCTCAGCACCGTAATATTCACATATTTAAAGCAATTAACATGTTTTAAGGACAAGCTAACTACATGTACGGCAATCTCCAGGCTTTGAGTGATTAGTAATTTTCATCCTTGAATAAGAAAACAGGCTGTATGGTAGAGGTGAATATAGCCCTTGTATGTGAAATGGAAAATACCATACACTCCTTATATGGCTAAATGAAGCAGTGATGGAAATGCACTATAATTACAATGTATAAGAATTTGGGACTTTGTACTCTCTATTTTTAACACTTTTGCTAGCATATGGTAATTAAGGGTCTTCAAACCATAGTGTTTTGCTGCTAATACTAGTGATAAGAGAATGGCTTCTAAATTTGCCAAAGTCTTGTGACCAAGGCAGCAGCAGGAGGATTCAAAATTGAAAATCTGGCAACCCCAGAATTATCTTGACTGTCTACTTAAATCTCCGAGGGATTTTTTAAAGCCCCACCCCCACCCTATCTCACAGGCGCTGGCTCGCTGGGGCGCGCGCACTCTCTGACCTTAAATCCAACCAGAAGCATTTCTTCACTCTGCAGAGAAATTCTCAGGCTCCTGTTGAGACCTGAAGCACTGAGATGCCAAGAAATCTCTTGTGCGGCTGAGTTGGAGACAAGAAAATTGGGGAATAAGCAGTAAAACCATAATCCTTAGAGTAACAAGAAGCAGGCAGTTCCAAACGTTTCAGTAGGTTTTTACCTCTTTAAAAACGTTTTTTTTTTTTTTTTAACTGTCTCCTAACAAAATGGAGTAGCTGCAGCTACTGGGAGGCCAGAGAATGATTGTGCAGCTGAGTCCTTCTAACAAATGCCAAGGATTTCCTCCCTCGTGGTTCACTGCAGCTAAATGAAACAATTATCGACGCAAGAAGGCAGTTTGCTAATCAAGAGGGCTAATACTGCCTTTTTTTTTTTTTTTTAAGTGTTCGAGCTGGGGAAGGGAGAAGAAAGGGTCCTGTGTGCGGTGTCTTTTTAACCTTGCTGAAGGACGCAGCAGTATTTATTGACGTATGCAAATAACTGGGGGAGGGTGGTGCTTGGGAAAAAACAGGAACCAGAATCAGTTTCTCATTGCAGGGCGAACGCTCTGAGTTCCGGTGAAGGGAAAAGAGACGTGGCGAAATTGCTGTCTTTCTGTCTTATAAGTACATCTCTCACTAATACAGAAAAGGAACCAAGACATCTGAAAGGGTGAAGACGCTCTCACAGTATTTTTAGAGACCTTGCTCGGCACCTTCCCTACCCCCACCCAACAGCGCGACCTGTTCTTCTAAATGGGAGATTATGGATTTGCATTGCAATTGGCTAGTAGCCGTGGCGATGGATTTTCGCAAGTAAAACACCCGCCCGCTTCAGCGAGGGACATTAATGATCACATTGACAATAACGCGTCTCTCTTTTTTCCCGTTTCAGCTGCGCAAACCATGCAGGATGATTTACTGATGGACAAAAGCAAAACCCAGCCCCAGCCCCAGCAACAGCAGCGGCAGCAGCAGCAGCAGCAGCAGCAGCAGCAACAGCAACAGCAACAGCAGCCCCAGCCTGAGTCCAGCATATCCGAAGCCCCGTCCACGCCCCTCTCCTCAGAGACCCCCAAGCCGGAGGAAAACAGCGCAGTGCCGGCCCTCAGCCCAGCCGCTGCCCCGCCGGCCCCCAACGGCCCAGACAAGATGCAGATGGAATCACCGCTTCTGCCAGGCTTGAGTTTCCATCAGCCCCCTCAGCAGCCGCCGCCGCCGCCGCCTCAGGAGCCCGCGGCGCCGGGCGCGTCGCTGTCGCCGTCCTTCGGCAGCACCTGGTCCACGGGGACCACGAACGCGGTGGAGGACAGCTTCTTCCAGGGGATCACCCCAGTCAACGGGACCATGCTCTTCCAGAACTTCCCGCACCATGTCAACCCAGTCTTCGGAGGCACTTTCTCCCCGCAGATCGGCCTGGCGCAGACCCAGCACCACCAGCAGCAGCCGCCGCCGGCGCCTCAGCCGGCACAGCCGGCGCAGCCCCCACAGGCGCAGCCCCCGCAGCAGCGCCGCTCGCCTGCCAGCCCCAGCCAGGCGCCCTACGCACAGAGGAGTGCCGCCGCGGCTTACGGCCACCAGCCCATCATGACCAGCAAGCCGTCCTCGTCTTCGGCGGTTGCAGCCGCTGCTGCAGCAGCCGCCGCCTCGTCGGCCTCTTCCAGCTGGAACACGCACCAAAGTGTGAACGCAGCCTGGAGCGCACCGTCTAACCCCTGGGGCGGCCTGCAGGCGGGCCGGGACCCTCGCCGGGCGGTCGGTGTGGGTGTGGGTGTGGGTGTCGGGGTGCCTTCCCCGCTCAACCCCATCTCGCCGCTCAAAAAGCCCTTCTCCAGCAACGTGATCGCGCCGCCCAAGTTCCCTCGTGCGGCGCCGCTCACCTCCAAGTCCTGGATGGAGGATAATGCTTTCCGGACCGATAATGGTAACAATCTGTTGCCATTTCAGGTAATGCTCTGGTGCACCTGCACACTCCTTCCCCTGCCCGGCTCCTTTTGCCCCTTCTCTGACTTTTAATCCTCAACCCGTTTTTATTTTAAAAGGGCAGCAATGTCCATCTCCTCTGCCCCTTTTCGAAGCCTCCAGTTCTCTGGGGCTGTTCCATTCTCAGGGGATGAGATTGGGAGAACATTGTAATTGCTGGAGGAATCGTATTCGTCCCTTCAGGGTAGAAAACACTTTTTCTTTTACTTTATTTTCTCCTTCATGGCGTTTGTACTTCTTATTTTGACTTCGTTTGACAGTAAAGCTGCAAGCGTATGGCAAGGTGCCGGCATAGTCCCAGGATGAGTAGGCTGAGATTCCTATCATTTTGAGTAGCTACACATTGCAGGTTATGCAATCCTGAGCTCAGGGTTCCGCCTGCAAGCCGTCCACACCCAAACCACCTTGGCTTTAATCTTAAAGAGGTTAACAACCCTTGAGTGGTGCTATTTCAGATGGTTGCATATGCTCAATTAAACTAATGTGAACACGTGTGTTTATGTCTCGCTAAGGTGCTAGAATCATTAATAACAATCAGCATATTGCCCCTGCTGGGAAAATTATGAGTGTGAGATTCCAATAAACACCCGCAACTGTGTAAGGGAAGGAGATGGAAGAGTGGAAATTCTAAGGGCAATCCTTTCCATGTTACCTACAAGAAGGATTTTTTTTTTTTTCCGGAGGTAAGAGACAATAGGACGTGACCTTCAGAGCCATATTGCAATGGAGTCTCTTTGCTAGCTAGCACTGAAATATTTAAAGCTGTAGTGTCCTTCACCAGTTGGGTTAAGAAGACAATACAGATCAATTACATCATTTGAAACTGGGCAAAGTGAAAGTCTTGCAATTTTAATGAAAAATGAATCTTGTGTCTTGGTGTTAAATGCCAATGAAAAACTCAGGAAGTGCCCCAGACAAAAAGGTGGAAATGAAGAGTGTCCTTATTTCTGTTCTTGCTTTCTGATCCAGTCCACAGCCATAGCAGTTGGCAGTGTCCTGGGCATCTTGGGTTGGAAAGGCATAGTATGGGTGTGTGTACACGGGTGGCTTTTGCTCCCAGGCAAACACTTATCCTTCACTTAGAAGTTGATTTGGCTGTAAGCTTCTAGGCCCAGTTAAAGAAAGAAAAAGGCGAGCGGGGAAGGCTTCTGACAAGACCCAATTTGGATGGTCAAGGAAATGAAGCAGAAATCTTTTGAGGAGTGCTAAAAGATGGGAGAACTGACTATTTGACAGAGGTATAGTGTCAGGTACAGTTGCAGCCTTCATCTCTACATTTCAGATGTTTGGAGTGGCTCCCATTCACGAAGAAGAGATGAGGTTATTGAGAAGAACATGACTCTCTAGGCTAGAGTAATGATTTTTAACTTTTGACAGTTCAAGGGAGTCCCTGATACCTCTAAATTGTGTATATGAGAGTTTTTAACGAGAGGATCTTCACGAGGAATTTTCACAAGGGTCCTTCAGGAATGGAAGATTTTAACATTAAGGTATTTTTCTTCCTATTCTAAAGTTTGCTTATTTTAATAAAATGAAGAGGTGTTGCAAGATGGGGTTAGTTTCATAGAGAAAAGGAGGAATTTGCTTTCTGGAATTTATGTGCTTATTTTTGGAGGTGGTAGAGCAGGGAAGCTACATTTGGTAGGAGAGGCCCTCTTTTTTTTTTTTTTTTTTTAACATTTCCTCTCTTTATTCTCATACTCGCTACTGGAGTTCAGTCTTACAGGATAACCTAAAATCTTACAGGGGGTTTTGGGAGCTGATAAGGTAGATAGATCTTGTTTTCTTTCTCTAGGAGATGACTCTGAATACAACTAGCTATTGGTGAATTATCTACTAGAATGGGGATTAGGGGAGATTAAATCCACATCATTTACTCAAACCTGATATTGACAAGTAGTATAGGGACTGCCAATTGTTACTCAGCAAACCATTCACCAATGATGCTAGTAAGAGCCAAATGGACTGGATTCAGTTCGGTCTCTTCTCTTTCCACCCCTGGTGATGCTATTGGATAGGCAAAAATGGCTATCCATTTTTGTAAGAGGACAGATTTGATTGGAAATTGAGTATTATTTATTTGGCTTCAGGAAAAATTACATATACATTATGTCTCATTTCTTTTTCATAAAATGGAGCTTAGGGTTTTGAAGCAATTTTAGGATCAGAGGAGGAACTTGGTTGTGTTTTGGCCGGAATATTATCAGACTTGGTTTGTGTTGATAACTGTATCAAGTTTGTCTAAGAAACAAAGAACACCTGAGTCTTGTGTACAGAATTTTGTGTATGTGCATTTTTTGAAATAGTTTTTCTAAAAAAGGAAGAAAATATCTTAAGTAGTTCTGATGACTTTTTCAAAATATTCTGGTAAATGTAATTTTATTTAAATCAGTTTATTCCAACTTTATTTTTTAATAGACTTTTTGAGCTATTAATAAAAGAGGCTTTCTATAGTGATCTACTCTAATGTATGTTAAAATTTTTAAAGAAACCCGTTCTGTCCTACACTGCTTCTTTTTTGCCAGTTTCTATCAACACAATAGATTTTGAGGAGCTTTACTTACATGGTTTACCTTGTAAAAGGAATCAGTGTATTTGAATGTGATTTTACAAACTATAATACTTTCTGGTTCTAATAAACCTGATTGGTTTCCTTGGGTTTTGGTGGCTGCTTTCTTAGGGATTATTTGTATCTAAAAGTCACTTCATTTCTACAGATAAAGAAGCTGAAATCCTGAGAGGTAGAATGACTGAATTCAGGTCCTACAGCTTTGGCTAATTTTGTTGCATGTGTCCTTAGTGTCCATGTAGTGCAAGAGCTGTCAGATAGAATTCATTTTAAGTAAGATTCTCTTTGGACTTCATGCAAAGGGACTTAGTGAAGTTTTCTATTAGGCTGATGCATCTTGGTGATGTAGCCATAAAAGTAATGGCAAAACCCGCAATTACTTATTTAATAAAAGGACTAGAGCTGAGATACTTTGTTTTTTGTTGAAAATTTGGATTTAAATAGCATCATTGTCCAGAGAAGTTTAGGAGGGACTTTTGAGAACACCTATTCTAGACCACCGTGCTCATATTACGGAGGATGAAATCAAAGTCTTTCAATGCGTGAAGTTACTTACCCAGGTTCAGGTTAATAATTTCTGTCAGAAGCAGGTTTTGACAGCAGATTGCCAGGATTCAGATCTCTGCTTTGCCAGTTATTGGCTTTATAATCATGAGCAAATTATATAAACATGCTGCCTCTCAAGTTCTTCACCTCTAAAATGGGAATAATAATAGTTTCTTGCTTCATACGAGTTAAAATGTAAAACTAAATATAAAGTGTTTTGCACAGTGCCTGGCTCATAGTAAAGTTTCCCATAAATGTAGGGTTATGATTATTGTTACTGTAATGGTGACCAGAGGCTGTGCATGATCTTGTCATAGTATGGATTACTGATTTTTTTTTTTTTCTTGAATTGGTGTCTTACCCTGTCACCTAGGCTGGAGTGCAGTGGTGTGATCTTGGCTTACTGCACCCTCTACCTCCTGGGTTCAGGTGATTCTCCTGCCTCAGCTTCCTGAGTAGCTGGGATTACAGGCACCTGCCATGACACCTGGCTAATTTTTATATTTTTAGTAGAGATGGAATTTTGCCATATTGGCCAGGCTGGTCTTGAATTCCTAACCTCAGATAATGTGCTGTCTTGGCCTACCAAAGTGGATTACCAATTTTTCATACAGTGCATTCTAAATAGCCCCAAACTTCGGTGTAATGCCATTTGTTCTTTTTTCCTATCTGATGGTACTCTCACGATCCAGAGCCTTTGGTCATTGTAGTAATGTGATGATCCAGCATTTACCTATGGGCCAGACCCTGTGCTAAGCACTTTACATGTAGTTTCTCACTGGAACTCCTTTGAGATAGGAGCTCCTTTGACATAGAAGGACTATTTTTATCCTTGTTTTGTTTGTTTTTAGAGACAGAGTCTTGCTCTGTCACCTAGACTGGAGTGCAGTGCTGCAATCTCGGCTCACTGCAACCTCTGACTTCTGGGTTCAAGTGATTCTCTTGCCTCAGCCTCCTGAGTAGCTGGGATTACAGTGTGCCACCATGCCCAGCTAATTTTTGTATTTTTAGTAGAGACGGGGTTTCATCATGTTGGTCAGGCTGGTCTTGAACTCCTGTCCTCATGATCCGCCTGTCTTTGCCTCTCAAAGGGATTACAGGTGTGAGCCATGGCACCTGGCCTATTATCCTTGTTATATTGACAAGTAAATTGTGGTTCAGTGCATTCACACTATTTGCTTAAGATCACAGTCACTGATTGGCAAAGTTGCCTCCAGAGCCCATGGCTCCTATTCCCTTGACTATACTACCTCTAATACATCACTTAACAGTGCAGTGTTGATGTAGGAAACTAGACTGAATCTGTACTTGACCTTATGAGATACACTGGAAGTTGTGTTTTTATTTTATTTTTTTATTATTTTTTTTGAGACAGTCTTGCTCTGCCACCCAGGCTGGAGCGCAGTGGCACAATCGTGGCTCACTGCAACCTCTGCCTCCCGGGTTCAAGCAATTCTCCTGCCTTAGCCTCCTAAGTAGCTAGGATTACAGACATGCAGCAACATGCCCAGCTAACGAATTTTTGTATTTTTAGTAGAGACGGGGTTTCACCATGTTGGCCAGACTGGTCTCGAACTCCTGACCTTGTGATCTGCCCGCCTCGGCCTCCCAAAGTGCTGGGATTGCAGGTGTGAGCCACCACGCCTGGCATGGAAGTTGTGTTTTTAAAAAATTTTGTATTTGCAGAAATGAAAAAAATATAGTAACTGTAAATATACTACCATGAAGATTGAACAGTTATGATTTTTTTCTGTTTACTTTATATATCTTTGAATATTATAGTAATATTGTAGACCACTCTGCTCATTTTACAGAGGATGAAATCAAAGTCGCAACATGGAAAATGACT